ACAAGTTTGTAAGCTTGTAGACATCATTAAGAAGTAATTAACAGTCCCATGCTGAGACCTTTCTCAAAATTCAGACCGGTGGCAGGCTGCCAACAAAGAGAAGAAAATATCGCAACCCCGACACGAGTGTGCTCAGTCAAACAATGAACTTACGACCGGCAGAAAACAACTCCAGTTGAGTATGCCGATACTGTATCTCAGCCGTGTTGGCTTGAAAATTTAAACATGCTAATTAAATCCAAAATCGTATAATTATTTATAATAGAAACCGTATCTTAATTTGTTCTTGCACTGCATCATATCGTGTATTTCATCTGTATATGTGTAATGTGTATATGTATCAATGGCTACACTTATACCGCATATTCTGCAACAAACTATAATTATTCACCTTATTATTGTCTCTCCATTTACCATGGCTGACTGCACTAATACCCTTTTGACAGTGGACACCGATATCAGTATACATGTAGGCTTTTTGTTCAAAAAGGAACATGCAGGAAATTATATGTAACAATTAACTGTGTACTAATTACATGTTTGAATGTTATCAGTTTTACGTTCTGAGATACAGTGATGTAAGCATCTTCTAAAATCTTCTAAAAATATAATAAAATACAAAACTCTCTGCCGTAATTTTTTGTGGAAATCATTCGATCAAGTAAAACATGACTGCGTGACAAGACGAATCAACTATTTATACCCGATAAAAGAAACTGCCGTATTTTAGGAACAGTGCTATAACAAGACATTTGAAATTTCTAACAAGCAGATACATTAGAGACAGTGACTAGACTACAGGTACGTAATCCGTATCAATCAAAGGTGTAAAAAAACTGAAAATAATATCTGTCGGAGACCTACCAAATTACCAAGTTTTATCATTACTATATTTATTAAAATGCAAATACTTTAGTGATCCATTTTTTAGAGGAGAATGTGTGAATGCAGGTTGTACTTGGTATCTCAGTTCTCAGTTTCATACCGGTTGTATAACTGAATTTGTATATGGAACCATGCGTACAGCATGACAATTACTTGCTATTCGTCAGTTTACAACACACATAACACGGTCAAAAATTTTAGTCACCGCTTTTGCGAGTTATGAAGTACAGTAATGTTTTATTAAAATCTATTTCAATTTGTTTTCACCATTTTCCCTATTGACAGTCGTTGTTACGTGCGTCACTAGGTAATTAGTACGGATTGACCTTGTTTATTGTTTCTATACTTTGAGGATTTCTGTGACAACTGGCGGACGTAATTCAAACTCCTTCCGCACTGACACCGCATCAAATATATTTGTGTACCGATTACATAACTCTAATGGACAGGGTGGGGTGGTAGTTCACCGGACGACACTGTGTATATTGGGCGGCTCCTTTGATATCTCCTCCAAACATACGTTTATTGAATGACCCCATTAAACGATGATACACATCTCGATGAATATATCAAGGCACTAATTCATCTTTCATAAACATTTTTTTGTCTTTGTGCTTAATATATCCACATATCAACGAACATTTGTAAAACATGTATCCTAAAAAAAATAAACATTTTCAGGCTAGGTATTTGCCCACAGCAACACCTGCATAACTGTTTATTCACGCGTGGTGTGGTAGATCGTAATTGACCGAGAGCTGGTATTGTAGAATCACCTGTAAATAAGGCCGACACTGTAATTAGTTACAACGTACTAATGAGAATTATCATAAGAAGGCTGTTGTTTTTTCTGAACTGTTACCATTTTCATACCAAAAGTGACAATGCAGTTAAAAGTTGCTTTAGTGTCACAATATTCACTCACGTTTTCCTCAATCGCATTGAAACATAATTCCCACTGGTCAGTTCGAAACCGCATGTAATTAAATAATTATTTCGAGATTTCGTCAGAATGTAAGATATTCAGCCAAACGTTATGCAATAAAAGACGAATAGTTTTTTTCATTAAAATACGCGCACGCGTACCTGTATATTGCATACCTGGTGTCACGTAATTGCCCAGTGTGATGTATCAACGGGACATTAAATGGGAAATGAAATAGAAACTAACTAAAATTTAATGGTGTGGAAAATAACTCCAATGAATTGGAGTACACTCACATGAATTCGTATGATAAACTGTCAAAACGTTTTGAGAGGTAAGGCCGGGTTCATTAAAGATCGCTACAATATGTAAAACAGGTGAAATTTGTAGAACTAAAGGAAACATCCAACCAAATGCCCTTTTTAAATAGTAATGTAATGATATAATATAAAGTATATTTCACATGATACAATATACTTTGCAAACAGTTAGTTGATGCTTGAAAGGGACTGACGTAAACATGGGCGAAATATTTTAATAACGCCATAAAATAGTTGAATTAAGTAAAAATTAGTTAAATTTTGTGTCATGATACTTGAATAAATACATTTAATGTATTTGCGAAAAAAAACCATGAGTTTTGAGTAAAGGAACATATACTCGCCCATGGGCCAAACCCTTTTTCTCGCCCATGGGCGAAATATTTCAATATCGCTATAAAATCGTTGAATTAAGTAAAAATTAGTTAAATTTTGTGTCATGATACTTGAATAAATACATTTAATGTATTTGCGAAAAAAAACCATGAGTTTTGAGTAAAGGAACATATACTCGCCCATGGGCCAAACCCTTTTTCTCGCCCATGGGCGAAATATTTCAATATCGCTATAAAATCGTTGAATTAAGTTAAAATGAGTTAAATTTTGTGTCATGATACTTGAATGAATACATTAAATGTATTTGCGAAACAAAAACATGAGTTTTGAGTAAAGGAACATATACTCGCCCATGGGCCAAACCCTTTTTCTCGCCCATGGGCGAAATATTTCAATATCGCTATAAAATCGTTGAATTAAGTTAAAATGAGTTAAATTTTGTGTCATGATACTTGAATAAATACATTTAATGTATTTGCGAAAAAAAACCATGAGTTTTGAGTAAAGGAACATATACTCGCCCATGGGCCAAACCCTTTTTCTCGCCCATGGGCGAAATATTTCAATACCGCTATAAAATCGTTGAATTAAGTTAAAATGAGTTAAATTTTGTGTCATGATACTTGAATGAATACATTAAATGTATTTGCGAAACAAAAACATGAGTTTTAAGTAAAGGAACGTATTCTCGCCCATGGGCCTACCCATGGGCCAAACCTTTTTCTCGCCCATGGGCGAAATATTTCAATATCGCTATAAAATAGTTGAAATAAGTTAAAATGAGGTAAATTTTGTGTCATGATACTTCAATAAATACATTTAATGTATTTGCGAAACAAAATCATGAGTTTTAAGTAAAGGAACATATTCTCGCCCATGGGCCAAACCCTTTTTCTCGCCCATGGGCGAAATATTTCAATATCGCTATAAAATCGTCGAATTAAGTTAAAATGAATTAAATTTTGTGTCATGATACTTGAATGAATACATTAAATGTATTTGCGAATCAAAAACATGAGTTTTAAGTAAAGGAACATATTCTCGCCCATGGGCCTACCCATGGCAGGCCCATGGGCGACATAGTCTAAATATTGAGTTTTTAAACAATTTTTTTTTCATTTTTTCTTACTTGGTATGTTCTCATGAAAACGGCATGTTTAATTTTGTAAATACCTTTAACCGAGACTGGGCAAAGAGCGTAGAGTTTCTGGACTTTTGGGTTTCCAGAATTAAAATGGGACGTGTTCCAGTCATTTTTCCATATCTTCAAATAGTGTACAGCAAGTCTTTAACCATTAGTTTACCTGTGAATGCTGCATATAATTCTTTCCTGACAGACTAATGGGAATGTTACGCATCATAGATAAGTCATTTCTCATACATTTTCAAAACATTGAAAAACGGTTTAAATCTTTAATTTTTTCCACTAGTAGGCATGTGTACCTTTGCATTGACCTATGAAATTGAAATGTTTTAAAAATGTTCATGACGGACACATGCATTTGGAAAACTAGAGTCAATTGTGGTACATTTGAAATACACTTAAATGATAAAAATACCTTTAAATTCCTGTTTTGTCATGCTTGGAGCTATCATCTTAGAAAAGTCCCAGATGTATTTAACAACTTGTCGATTCTGTGAGGACTCCAACCTGCAACAAATGTTTTACTTTTATGATATGACCAGAAATATACATATGCCAATAACTATAACATATATTTTTCTTTAACGACTTCAGCATGAACTTATTAACTTATTTTGAAGTAACTAAAAGCAGCGAGATTATTAGGTATAATTTCACTGCATAATGACTTTAAAACATATTCGTTTAGATTTGAGATATATTGACCTGTGGTACAGTTTTCTAGTACAAGAATAACAAAAAGATATATATTTATGTGACTGTCTCATATAATTTCCCATTACAAAAATTTCTAAAACTTTATTTATGAGTATTTCTACTGAAACGGGATTCATGGAATAGAAGTAATCGTGGTGGTATTAAGAAAATATTATTTTTGCCAAAATTGCGTAACAGTCTTTTTCGGATGTACCTCAAATTTTATCAGAAAAACTTGAGGCACACAAAACTTTACGACTCGTTCATTGATTATGTAGGTAAAATGAACACTAAAAAGGCGATCAGATTTTAAAACAAGTCTATCTATTCATCTGTATAAAAAGTACTGTAACAAAACTATAAGTGAAACAAAGGTAAATTACATACAACTTTTAATAGTTTTGATTAACTTTTATCAACGACAAACCTATAGGGGTTTAAAAAAAGATGAATATTTACATAGGTTACATACTCGGTCTCACAGACGCAAAGATACACATCTAAATAGAAATAGTGCTTACAATGCCACAGTGTTTTCCTGGTGTAAGTCGACTCCAAACAAAGTGTTTCTATGGTTGTCAAGTATGGTAAAAATGATATTTTCGAAATTAAATGATCAATTGTAACTGAATGAACCTATGTCCCTTTCCAAAATTATCACTGCACACTACGATACTTATGTGAACATCGGCTCCATAGTCCACCCTTTCTCAGTTTCAGCATGGTCGATCGCTGCCTTCAATGCTGCCTAAGGAAAAAAAATGATAAAATATAGTTAACAGACAATAGAAAGAATCAATATTGGTGATTTTATCTGTGAGATAAATCTATCGAAACGAAACTTGATATTGTCTTATGAGAAACGCATCGATTACTGTAAATCGTGAAATTAATGCGATTGCTGAACCCAAGCTATTTAAAAAAGATACACCTGGCCATTCATTTCTGGCCTAAAAGACACTTTAAAAAAAAAAAATACTGATAAAATCATAATAAAATTAAGATAAAATACAGTCGCATCCCACATCCACCTCTGTGGACACACCACAACATACCTACCTCACCCAGATACCTCCATGCACAAAGTTACGTAACGATCACACACACACACACACACTCAAGACATAAATAATTTCATGCTTGCATACATGCACAACTCACACGCATTTACAGTTCTGGACATGCCTGTAAAAAAAACACAACGTTCACGCATACAAACACTTTCTCATCCAAACACACTCATCCAACATACAAAAACACTCTATGCTCCAGGTCTACAATATACCGTACCACAACAGTAACAGGTCCATGCGTTGGTTTACAACTTGATTGTAAACAAAGTGGTGTTTTACCATTACACTAGTGCAATCTCCCCCATGCCAAATATAATTTTACATAAAGAAAGTGAATACAATCAAGCCGAAAGTATCTGAATTGAACCTTAATCCGCTTATTAGTGCCGAGTACTTCGGGAAAACATGGTGTTTTTCTTCCCAATAACAACACATAGTTTATGTTGATTCCCCTCGTTTAACGCGCTGTATAATGTCGGTCGCTAAACACATGTGTATTTTTCGGGTTTTCCACGGTTTTCCACATATCCGCCGTTTTGATGTTTTGCTGGGATCTTACCCTTATGTTTGTACTGATTTTGCTGGGTTTGGTCGAAGTTTGTGTTGGTTCCTGGACCCTGTTGTCCAAACGTGTAACTTTTGCAGTTAGGGCGGTAACCTGAAAATACAAATATAGTGAAAACTGACGGTGAAACGTATCATGGTATGCCCAACTGGTTCACTTACTGTTATATCGCATGATCCAACACTGGCTGGATGCAATTTTTTAAAATCAATGTTTGCTCGTAGTGACATTGTACGTGTCACACGTAAATATATATCTAACTATAATTTTCCCCTTGAAACACGATAAATCATATCGAGAAAATGCATTTTAAACTGAAGGCATTGTGTTGACTATCATCACTTACCTGTGTATTCTTTTCATTAAGTTTGCTCTTGAGGTCTCTAACCTCACTGTTTAGGTTTCCAATTTCGTTTTAATGTCGCCGACTTCGCCCTTCAAATCTGTAATGGCCCTGTGAAGTCGTCCTTCCATGACCCTCATGAGTTGGAGAAATTCTGCATAGGGGATGGCTTTCCTGTAATTAAGAGAAACATTAAATACTTGCATAGCACCTGGATGACCGTTTTACGTTCTGGGAAAAATTCAAGTGCAATATTCAAGATATTTTCAACCTTCTCCAAAATATGCATTCAAAAATCAAATTCAAAATATATTCGAGCCAAACAGAACTACCACTCCTTGATATTCTTATTAAAAAGAGTAACTTAATTTTGCCATCAACTGCAATCTGAAGTGTTATAAGCACTAGGTTGCAGTCATTTGAGATCCCGCTTGAATATAAGACACTATGAATTTCTCATCAAACGTCATGCCTCGGCGGCAAACATAAAAAGGATAGTTACATTTAATGATCTTGTTGCGGGTCGATGGTAATTGGTGTTGACGAATGAGTGTTTGAATATCATTAGCTAGGGCATTTTAATGTCGATTAAGCAATCCTTATCAATAATGGAGATGTTCCTCCTGTGTCTTTCCGCGTATCTAGTGGCAGCTAAAGATGTACCAAAATCATATAAATGTATGATTATTAATACTATGCGAAAAATCATTTCATGCGTTGTGTGACATACCTTGTCTCATACGATGAGTCTCAACTTGAATTACAGCTTGATTCTCTGAAACATTAATTTGTTTATCAGATGCCGTATGAGTGCTATTTTCTAAGTAAATTGCAGACACATCGATGCACTACCTACCATTAATCGCCACTTAGGTCCTGTAAAGTTATGTAAACACCACAAAACTACCCACATGGGGACAAAATTTCGATGGATAAGGATTTCATTTATCTTTATGAATATCCATACAGATGTTGAAAATAACTGCGTGTCTAAGCATACCTACGTGAATCTCTGATTGAAATGAAAGCAAATTACATGTTAAACTACACGAATGTGACAAGAAAATTCATGAACCTGCTCATAGAATTGTGTTTGATGAAAAAACATACTACAGCTTGAGGCTCTTCTCAGTAAGTCCTGATCGTCATCTTCTCCATCTGCATAGAAAAGTACAATTTAAGGAATGGGCTTGGGTTGATGAACACATATGATTCAGTTAACTTGTACTTGCTTTATTTCTCGAAAACCACCAAATTCAAATTACATAGTTATCGACATAAAAGTTTTCAGACTGCATACATTTGCAAAGTTTATATACATTTGGCCATGCACAATAATTTACAGGGATATCTGTTTTTCTTTGATGATTGAGCCCTGGAAATTTAAATGGTAAAGAAATTCATCTGCGACTGCAGGCGAGTCACAAACGTTATACTATCTTTCTTCACGTGGAATGCCAAGCCAACGGCAAATCTTACTTATCGTAATTACAGACAGACAGATATTTTATTAGTCTCACCTCATATTTACAATATAAAATCTATTTAAAACAATCATCAACTCATGTATGAGCCACCCATTTCTGCAATCACAGACACATTTCAACAGTTCAACCTGGCCACTAATTATGAACCATTATTGTAAAGTTCGGTAATAAATACCTGAAAAGTCGTAAACTCTTGTCAGAGGTGTAGATGAGGCAACCAGACCGCTTCCTAATCTGTTCTCTTTTCCCTTTGTCTTAAGATTTTGTGCTTGCGCTTGACTGGACTCTACGATGAGGCCAAATACAAAATTAAAATGTTTCCAAAATATGGTTATGCAGTAAAACTTGAATTCGTCAAACTCTTGTTATTCGACAGAAGCAGCAGATGGTGTAAACGGGTGATATAAGTGTTAACACATTTAGTAAAACAATCCCTGACAAAATGCTTATTACATATATAAACTGACAGATGTGTAACAGATAGTGCACAATGTTCAAGTTGTTTAAATAACTAAAGATACTTATGGTTTTCGACTTCTTGGTTTATTAACATGCAACGTTTCGGTGTATATACACGCACCGTTATCAATGCTTGTATGGTATACTACTAATATCATAGTCGTACAAAGACGGCATAATTTCACCAATAGCGAGAATCAATAAAGACTTATGCGTAAAATTTAATGATAAGATACACGTAAGGGTAACTGGGATTCAAAAGATGAACATCTTCAGATAACCATCACTTTAGAAAGTGTGAAATTCAAATATCATTCTTCCATTAATGAAATTTACATGTAACTGATTCATCTAACATTGTAACAGATACATACAGCTATCACCCTAGAAAGAGATAAAACTGCCAACCAGTAATTGCCGACTTGTGCATTATGCCAAATCTTTTCTTCTTGATACGGTGAAATTTTAAAACTGTAACTAGTTCGCAACCAGTTATGTAGATGTCTTAAAATTATTCAGATATAAATCTTATACATATATGACCAGTTACATAACTAAACCCGAGTCTGAGGCGAGCATGCAAAGAGAAATATTGAACTGTAGAATGGGATATTGATTAATCATATTTCTAAAACTTACTGTTTTAATGTATGTTTATTCGTTCAGGGTTCTGTTAGATAATAGAGTGACGGCTCTTGACTCGGTTTTAGTTATCTTACTACAAATAAATGTGAACGGTTAATATATGAATTCAATATCAATATACTTTTTGTTCCAATAAGAGTGCCCCCAGAGAGGGTATGTAAGACCACGTCTTTCAAAGTCTATTTATTTCTACCACGTTCTTAATAGTAGTATTTATGTTCATTTAACTTTGGCTAAATTTGTCATAATCGCCAACAGCTAAAGGGATGATGTAAATCCAGCTGGGGTCCATGCAGGTAGCAAAAGTACTGTAAGTCCCCATGGACCCTAGCATGGTGATCTACCTTCAGCTGCTGGCGATCTATAGCCTGTTTTTATCTTGTATCGTTATGTATAGTGCTATTCTCTTTTAAAATTCCGTACTAGTTTTATATCTTTTTCTGTGATGATCTAGTAATTTTACTGTCCTTCGTTGGCAGGTTTTTATACAAGTTTCAATGTATGTATTATATTTAACTATTGATAGTCACGATATGGCTGAAATATTGCCGATGTGACTTAAAATTTAACTCACTCACTCACTCACTTCAATAAGAGTGATGTTGGAAACACTATATACGACTCACTATGACAAATCCGATGACTATTGAGTTTATCTATTTGTTCATTTAAGTATTCTGGCAACTTCAACAATAGCTCGTTAATCTTCCTCTTAATCCAAAATCATGAAAATCTTTTAAAATACCGTGCTTCCATGCAGTGTCATATGCTTTTTTTAGATCGAAAAAGATAGACACTGCATGTTGCTTATTCATTATTGCATTCTTAACGAATGACTCTAATCCAACTAAATGGTCAATGGTACTGCGATTGTTACGAAAACCACATTGAATATTTGTTAGTAAATTATTGGATTCTAAGTACCATGTCAGTCTATTATTGACCATGCGTTCCATGGTTTAGCAAACGCAGCTAGTCAATGAAATGGGTCTATAATTTGAGGGATCGGTATGATACCGTCCCGGTTTTGGTACAGGAATAACTATGGCATCACGCTATGATGAAGGAAAATTACCAGATGTCCAGATATCGTCAAATAATAGCAATATGTTATAAACAAGGTTCCGGTAAATGTTTCAAGAGTTGATAATGTATGTTATCAGCTCCCGAAGCAGTATCATAAGCTTGCCCAAGGGCGGTATGGAGCTCATGAACGAAACATATTTCATTGTAGTCTTCCCCATTATCTGATTTAAAATTAATACTTGTCTTTTCCTGCTGCTGTTGGTATTTTTGAAATTTAGGTACATATTTAGTCTCCCAGTTTATTAGCAATATCTGAACTATCAGTAAGCAATTCATCCCCATTTTTAAGGTGTGTGCTGGCTTTGGAGCCTTTACCTTTGATCTTTTGGATCATGTTCCATACTTTAGACATCGTGTCAGTGAATTTACCTTTGTGCCATAGTTCTGCCAAGATGGTCGTTTATTTTGTTTAAATGTCCGTCTGGCCTTTGCGTTTCAGATTGTATATTTAATCAAACAAGTATTTGTCACAGAGTGACGAAATATCCCCCGCCTGTATATACACCATAGTTCCAAATATGAAGACAATCCAGTGTTTAGTTCTTGAGATATCGCGGCAACACCGTTTTCCAACTCTAAAAGCAGATTTGCCTGCTGTGACCTTGAAAATGGGATCAAGGTCACCAAAACCGACTGGTGTCTGCGGAGTCTGTATATACACCATAGTTCCAAATATGAAGACAATCCGGTGTTTAGTTCTTGAGATATCGCGGCAACACCGTTTTCCAACTCCAAAAGCAGATTTGCCTGCTGTGACCTTGAAAATGGGATCAAGGTCACCAAAACCGACTGGTGTCTGCGGAGTCTGTATATTCACCATAGTTCCAAATATGAAGACAATCCAGTGTTTAGTTCTTGAGATATCGCGGCAACAAACAGGTGGGACGTACGGACGGACGTACAGACGTACGGACGTACGGACGGTCGTGAATACTATATCCCCCGCTTCGCGCTTTCGCGCGGCGGGGGATAATTATGGACCATAGGATGGCGACGGAAATAGTGTTCAGCTTTTTTCCTTCCCTTCCTAGCTAGTTTGCACTCATTAGTATACCATGGTTTACGGATGTGAGGATATGCAGAGGACTTAGGAATAGAGGTATCAGCTATTTTATTTAGTTCATCAGAAAAAGCTTGTATTGGATCAGATATGTCAGTAAAAAGTGCAGGTGTTAATATGTTTGAAGCTAGTATTTCAAACAATGGCCAGTTGGGTTTTGAAAAGTTCCATCTTGTTGAAGGAGGAACGTCAGATGGGATGACAGGTTTTAATATTGTCGGGAAATGGTCACTGCCACAGAGTTCATCGTGGACTGACCATTCGAATTCATTAAGCAGATCAGAGTTTGTGAGAGAGAGATCAAGCGATGAGT